CATAGAATCCATTTAAACTAACCAAATTCTTAAAGTTATCCTTCTAACATCCAGCACTATAATGTTTCTCACAATATTCTTTAGTTTTTTCAATGTTTTTGAAGTTCTCGATGAATTAAGAACGCTTTTCTCTATAATAGCTATCGCTCTTAGCTTAATTAACTGGAAAATCGCAGCCTATCGTATCATAACACAAATTTATGTCATCGCATGCATTATATGAAGCATTTCTCAATCCACCAATAGCTTATTGAACCATTGGCATCCTCATTCTATCCTGTTATACATTCATTTGCATCATGGGGGCTTAAGATGGCATTGCCTATTGCATCATCATCATTCTTGGGGCAGGTGCTTAATTCATGCACATCAGATTTCTTTGCACTGGTTATTGAACTTGTTAAATCATTTGTTATTATGCAAACATCATATCACCTTAATTGACTTAGTTTTCATCTTCAGCTTCAATTTTAGCACCCAAAACTGTGTCAAAGTATTTCTTAAAGATTCTCTAATCGATGATGTTCTATTTATTGAGATTTTCCAAGTAGGAGGCTATTTATTTGGCATCTTCCAATTGATTGGATATTTCTGCAAAGTAGATCACCAATAATGCTTGTTCTAATGCATTCAACTCCGTAATCTTTTACATAGATCCATACTATCTTAACGCAGCGTCGTCCTTTAATAAGAAATAATCAATAAAGCTTTTCTCTATTTTGTTCTTGATGTAACTCTCTGTGTAGGTTTCAAAGAATGCTGAATCCTTAAAGAAAATAAAGAGGTTCAACTCATCACATTGATGTTCATCGTAGAGCTTGTGTTTTTGTTCAGTAGTCTGTTGATACCACTTAATCAAGAATTCCCACTTTTAAAAGTCTCTAGATCCACTGTCATCTCCATTAGCTTTTTTCAATTCCTTTAAGACAATAAACATTTTATCTAAGGAATCAACCAATTTGATTTCTGTTGATGTTAAATCTTGGACCTAAATGGGGACATTCTTTTAGACATTAGAGGAATTTCTATAAATTGAATAAAACTTATCCTTCTACAATGTGGATAGATGAGCAAGGTTTCTAGTTTGCACATCCTCATTGTCAAGTGGCAATATTTAAAATTGATAGGATGACTCATTGAATACAAGCAATGTCACTGTTGAATACTGGGTTGGTACATCAAGTTAGAAGTTATTGTTTTCATCGAGACCAACATTTGAATACAATATGGCTGGATATTTCAAAAAGTCATTGAAAGTAGTCACTTGTTAATGTCTTTAGCCTGCGGATCCATAACCTGCTTATTTACTTTAAGCTCGTGATTGTTGGTTTTGTTATTCGTATTTATCCTTATATGATCCCTCTTGATTCAAGGATTCCCCTTGAGTTGTAGTTTCTCTAATTTTTTATCTCTTCAATAGGAATTGGGGCTTTTCAAGCGTGTTACCAATATATCTTTCTTATGTCTTTCTATTTAAAACATACTTTTATTCATCTGACAATTCCTTGTTTGATTAGAATACACTACTGTATAAATCTATAGATAATTGTTCAGATCTGTCTTTATTTATCAATTACTAAATCTGATTGACTTATTGCTCAAATTATTCATTCACAAATGAAGTGGCATAAGCATAAACCTACACTTTTTGTTTTGACACAATTTTACCAGTGATCTTAGTTCCATTCTCCTCTTTCTTTTAATCTACCTTAGATATTGCTATCAATTGATCCAACCCCTTATCAATTATTAATTGATTCTAAGATTTTATAATAGAAGAGCCCTTCCACAATTCCCCATCAATGACATTAATGTAAATAGTAAATCTATCCTTCACAAATTGCAACTCGTAAATTCCTTTATTTTCAAGTTTAAATGCGATGAATTATTCCTACTTTTTGATTTAATCTGTCAAACTTCTGATGACTGCTCTCTCTGTTGATCCAAAGACTTGATACAAGACAAATGGATTATTTATATCTCCAATATCGTTAAAAGGTAGATTTATTTCCTATCCAGGTAATACTGTGATTTTTGAGGGATAAGAGATTTAGCTCTTTTGGTTAATTTACCATAATTTCTATTAAACATTGATGTCTCCCACACTCTTGACATTTGAACTTATAGAATTTACATTCTTCAACTCTCCCAAATAGACTCTACCTTTCTCATCTGTTGTGAATTACTCGTTATAAGTATGATTTAAGGAACTCAATGTGAATGTGACAGTCACTTAAAGTCCTCTCTTAGGTTCACCATTCTTTCCTACAATAAGGATCTAATATCCATTTATTTTATCATATTTCAATTACTAATTACAAAACACTTGTTAGCCTTCAAGGTTGTCAAAATAGATGAAATGTGACTATTCAAGTTAATCTTCTTTTTTGTTATCATCCTTATGCATTCTTGTGATCTTCCCAGTGATTTTTATTTCAATAGCCTTTAATTTAGAAGTGATAGGGAATTACACTTCAAAGGGCTTGTCATTTTCTAATTTAATATTATCAAATGGTAAAGTTGCTGGAACACCTGCATCATTAGTGCTTGTTACTTAAATCTTTTGATCTTAAAGCAAGGCCAAACCCACTTCAGTGCCATTCACAAACAATTTTGGAATTATAACTGCCTTGGCTTGACATCCCATTAACAAAGATTCATCAGCAATCAAAAAGGCACATTTCAATTGATACTTCTCCTATTAAATGAAAACAGTTGTAAATTCAGCAAAATTATCATGGACAATTACTGCATTAAATTATTAATCCCTTTGACCAAATGGTATCAGGATTTCCTTTCTTGATTGATCCACATTATAAAATTTCTTATCAATCCAAACTCCTGTTTTCTCACCTGTGCATAATTCGAAATTCTCATCGAATATTTAGAATCTGTGGCCTGCTGCTGTGATGGTTTCTCTTAATTGAAGTCTACCCTTCTTTATTAGAGCCCTCGAAGATATACCATTACCAATAAACTCAACAATAAAGATTCCTCTTTAGATGTTAGTAATAGTTTGGAATTCGAATTCCTTAATCACTTTTTAAATTGGGGGGTAGTTGTAAGTGAAATCAGTTTCTTCAAATGCAATCAATCCATCCAAATTAATTGAAGAATCTAATTGTTGTTATTTCTATAAGTAATAATTTTCAGAGTTGAATTCAAATATTTTAATATTTAACTTTGGAATATTCTTGAGTTCAACATATAATTTAACTGAATCTCCATGTTTGAAATACATCTTATTGAATGAACAAATGGTCAACAATTTGCTTGAGTTCATCTATTCAATTTATGCACTTGTGAGGTAATCATAAATGTTCTATAATTCTTATCCTTGATGTAATTTGACAGTCGCTTAAACCTTCTTCAGATATTTTGTATCAAGGTATTATTCTAAAATACCTAGATCGTCATTCTTCTCAAAATATTTTTATAAGTATTTCTCAATTATTTAATCTGTGGCAATCCATCTATTTGTATTCAACTAATGGTATTCGTGCCATTACTATTGATAATTTCTCTTATTATTTTTAATGAATGTTTTTTATTTTTCATTTGCAGCATCATAATCATCCTTTGGATCTTTTAAGAAAACCAAGAATAAATCAAAGTCAAACTCATTTACTTCAATACCAATTTGTAATAATTCGTATAGTATCTAATCATTGAATGATTTGAATTTGGGAGGCAAAGTGCTTGTCCAATTGTAGACATCCTTAATGTTTTATAGAACTTATTTCTTTTCGTCCTCTGTCAATTTAGAGTATTGAATGTCTTTCAAATTGTATTGGAATTTCTTGAGATAGTATTCTCCAACAAACTATTGATTTTCTAGAAACTTCTTGTTCAATTGGAGCAATCCTTCCAGTTAAGACAAACTCAACTTTCTAAAATGAGCTTACTGAAAATCGTTCTTGAAGTCCTTCAAATTGGATAACTTATCATAGAACTCAGGGATGCCTGGGAAGCTACATATATGAAAATAGCGATTACTCTACGATTTCGTTGCCAACATTGTTCAAATAAGTTTTGATTACCTTAATAGAGCTGGCTGCTATTTTGTTTACATCCAATTATCCATAAAGTTGTTGCTTAATTTTGGCAAACCCAGCCTCTGTATATGCGTTGTCCAAGAATTTGCTTACTTCGAAGACGCTGTCATTGAATTTTGATTTGTAAGTCATTTATTCTATAAGTCCTCCAGATTGGGATTAACCCTAAAATAAAACGAAGCTTCATACTCTTGCGATTGCGGGGGCTTCTTGAGCAAAGGAAAACTTAAAGAATTATCTATTCATTTTGTCAACTATAGCCTTTAGTTATTTGTCGATTTCTTCAGATGGAGTTTCACTGCTTAATCGATCATATTCTAAAAACAGTGCTCTCAAATTAGTTTTATTGGCATTAACAGTTTGCATGTCTTTAAAAGCTTCCAATTACTGCTTTTATTCTGTAGTTAGTTGATATCCATGCTGATTGAAGATCTTTAAAAAATAATAATAATAATATTGGTCGGTGCCCTTGATAAGTTTACCTATTGCTTCATCCTTGGACAATAGGAGTTAATTTTCTAACAATTATAAATCTTGAGTTGACATATTTAAAAGATATTTATTCTAATCAATAAAAAGATATTCATCGACGCTGTTATATGATTTAATTCAATGTAAATTATAATATATCTAATAAATTCTGATAATAGGCAAATTTGTAGAAGGGAAACTCAATTTAAAAAGTCGAGCAATAAATAATTCATTTAAAGCAATTAAATAGAAAGAAAAATATAATCTAGAAATTAAAACTTACTATTAATAGTGATAAAATACTTTAAATGACTTACTATGGGACAAAGTTTAATATAGGATAGAATCATTGTATCTTGATTGAAGTATCAGTTTATAGATTAAGATGGACAGTAGATAAAATATGAATGATGATTATAATTTAGATATTATGCAATATAATTAAATGAATGTTGTCGTTAATTTATTATTTGAATGTTAATTAATCGCTGTTATTATCCTGAAACTCGTAAAGCAATTGATCATTACAGTTATGCTCTGAATGAAGAAATAGGAAGAGGGTTTAGTAGCAAAGTTTATAGGGGAAGAGATGAAAACAATTAAATGACTGTGGCTGTTAAAGTATGATATAAATTTGTAAGACAAGGTAATTGATATGAAGATGGTTAAACAGAGTATTCACGCCACTTTACTAAAGAATGAAATAAATGCTTTGAAATCATTTAACTCAAAGAACATACTAAAATTGTATGATGTTTTCTAAACACAGAATAATACATACATCATAACAGAGTATTGCGATTCTGGGGATCTGAGTGGTGTAATAAAGAAGAGAGGAAGAATAGATGAGTCTGAAGCATTGCGAATCATGAATGAAATAATCACAGGATTGCTGGAGATCAATCAAAAAGGTTACATCCATAGGGACATTAAGCCAGCAAACATTCTGATAGAGAAGCAGACTCCAAAAATAGCAGACTTTGGGTTTGCTGTCCAAATAAACAGCATGGAAGTCAAACAACAAGGGAGACATTATAATGTAGGAACTCCCCTCTACATGTCCCCACAAGCCTTGAGATAATAGGGCCACACCGAAAAAGGAGATGTATGGGCTATGGGTGTAATGTTCTTTGAAATGCTATTCGGACAAACCCCATTTACAGCCCAGACTGAATAGGGATTGCTAACAGCTATTTTGCATCACCATCTGGTCATTCCTTCACATCCCTCCATATCAGATGCTTCCAAAGATTTCATCCGCAGATGTCTTTGCATCGATGAGAACCAGAGAATGAGAGTCAAGGACATGAGCACTCACGCAATCTATTCACAATACTCCCAACCCATTTATAAGCCCATTCCCTTATAAACCCAACAATCATCCAATGTTCCCACGCCTGCAACCAGAACTCCCATTATCAACAAGGACAGGTCCCAAAGTCAGGGAATTAGAGACTTCTAATCCAGACCCAAGTGCCAAGTAAATTGCGTTTAATATACTAGACTCAAATTCATAATGATAGCAAAGTAAGTAAGAGATGTCCTTCGGAAATGTATCATCTCCCTCATCCACCTACAACTGTTATTGAACCTCCGATTTCAGATCCGATGAGATCCAAAAGTCAAAAGCAAATCACAGAATCACGAAAAACCATTACTCAAGAAAATTAGTTAGAAAAAAGGAGTTTTAAAAAAAATAACACTGTACTTTAAGAGTATTTATTCAATTCATCATCATAGACGATCTATTAATGTGTAAACTCAGCCATCTTAAAATACTACGCCTGTTTAATCACCCATTAAGTTTAAGTCAAATAATGACATACTATTTGCCCAAATCAACTATTGTAGATTTCTGTACAAATTCTCATAGCAAATCATCAATTCAAGGTAGTTGACTTTATCCAACGGTTTAAAAGAGAAGTTGTTATTCTTGATGGCTAAGAATATTGCCATGAAGATTTCTAAACTTCACACTATCATCGATAAAGAGAATTCCAAAGATAACACTTTCTAACTTGAAGATTTCGATGTATACAGAAAGGCTGAATCATTCCAGAAGTTTAGTTAAGCCATTTCAGAATACAATGAAAACTATAAGAGATACTTTGAGAAGACCTATTAAATGATAGTTAACAAAAGTAACATCTTATGTAATTATACACAGATCTCCCTCAAGATAAGAAATTTGAGGCCCTGTTTGACAAAGACTTAAGCGAATTTGAAAGTTTCTATTTCATTACTCAATCCTATTTAAGGCAAGCCTTGCAAGACATGAAAAGTGAACTGCCAACCTCTAGTTCTGATTTAGATGCTTTCTTGCCTGAAGAAGTACTTTCTATCTATTATTCCTAGTATAATTTTAGTTATTTTGTGGGTCAGTAATTGTGCAATTATTTGCTTATCTGTCATTGTACTCTCTAACACATGAATGATTATAAGAAATTCTCAAAGATGCTAAAAATTGATTAGATGGTTGATTAGAAACAAAATAGATGCACTTACAGACAAGTTGAAGAACTAAGAAGTAAAATGTAGGAATTGGTTACTAAGTGATTTTGATTTGTAAATTTTATATTACATTTTTATATTTAATAAATGAAATAGTAGTAAGGAGTTGTTGTTGTTTAACCTAAATACTATGCCACCTTCAATCAGACTCAACCACCATCTTATTGGGATTATGAGAATGCTAAAATTGAATATGGGTACAATTTAATTCTTATACATCAGATCAGAAGAACCTTACGAAGCAATTTGTAAAATTGGAAGAGGCAAATATTCTGAAGTCTTCGAAGGTGTTGATAATAGGAATGGAACCAAAGTAGTTCTTAAGGTTCTCAAGCCTGTCAAAAAAAGAAAAATACGCAGAGAAATCCGTATTCTTTAAGTTTTGAAAGGCGGCACTAACATTATTGATCTTTGCGATGTGGTTAGAGATGAAAATTTAAAAATCCCGACTTTAGTAAAAGAATCAAGTTAACATAGATCTTCCCTTATATGGAGAATACTGATTTTAGAAGCATGTTCCCTAAATTAACAGATAATGATATCAAGCATTATTTATTTGAATTGTTAAAAGTAAACTAAAACTTAAAATAGGCTTTAGATTATGCTCATTAAAGAGGTATATTTCATAGAGATGTGAAACCATAAAATATTATTGTCGATCCAAAAACTAGAACCTTGAAACTTATAGACTGGGGATTGGCAGAGTTTTATCATCCCTCACAAGATTATAATGTTAGAGTGGCCTCACGATATTTTAAAGGGCCAGAATTATTGGTGGACTACGTTTATTATGATTATTCGTTGGATATATGGAGTACTGGTGCAATGTTTGCATCAATGGTATATTGACATAGTGAATTTTAGATTTTTAAAAAGGAACCGTTCTTCCAAGGGAATGATAATTATGATCAATTAGTAAAGATTGCTAAGGTCTTAGGAACAGATGGATTAAAATAATATATAAAAAAATACAATATCAAGTTGGATAATGCATACAATGGACTCTTACTTAAGTATTAATTAATAATATTAATTTGTTATCCAAAATAAGATTGGCTGTCCTTTGTTAATCAAGACAATGCTCCTTTGTGTAGTTTGGATGCCATTGATTTGTTGTCCAAAATGTTACTGTATGATCATGCCGAAAGAATCACTCCAAAAGATGCCATGTTACATCAATATTTTGCAGAATTAAAACAAAATTGAACGATATAATAGATATATTAAATATATATTATTAAAATCATCTGTTTCGCTTATTTTTATTGCCACTTTTCACATATTCCTTAAATTGCCTTATGATAATATGTTATATTTACGCTTAAACTTGCCTCTCTAATAGTTCCTAGTATTGGAAACAAGGACCTTCTTCATCCTCACCTATCAGCATTGCAATTGTATCGTTATTCTCCAAAGGTTGAAAACCAAAATTCTATGCTTGAATCATATCCTATTTCTTCTCTGTTGTCTCTTATTATTATTATTATTATTGACTATCCGTTGCAAACATATCAATGTGACTAGCTTAATAATTTCCTGCAATGCTTGATTGGACTGTATTCACTTAGCTATATTATGATGGTGCTAATGATGATACAGATTTATGTCTATCTTAACTTCTTTATATAATGGCTCTAGCCTTAGCATAAGGATCAGGAGGACGAAGAAAATCAAATTGACTAGATTATGATTAATTTTATGATTGCATATCTGGAACCAGAGATTACCTTTTAGTGTTCTTAGCAGGACTTTTTGATTTTGATATTTTTTCACTGTCAATTTCTGGCTTCAATTTACTTTGTGAGTTCATATTATTTTTAGTTTGTTTTTTATTAGGATCCTAATGGGTTGAATCTTTTTTAATATTCCTCTAAGAATTTTGCTGAGATTACAACTTTACAATAATTAGATCAATAATTTACATCAGAAGTTCTTCTTTCTAATAATGCCCATTCGTATTTATAATCTAATTCAATTTTGTTATCACTTGCACATTTGCGCATCAATTATTTTAAATACTCATAATCAGGAGTTTATTTAAATTGCAGTTTTTTTACATATTCAAAGTACTTTGAAAATTCATTAGGCATGTCTTTACACAGCTCTTCAATCAATATTTACATTTTCATTTTGCCAACTACTTTAGTTTTCTCTTTATCACTTACATTTTATAAATTTTACCAAGGTAACGAACCTTTATATAAAAATACCAGCATATATCCCAAAGATTCTAAATCATCTCCCCTTCCTAATTCGAAACCCTTATGAGCACCAATCGAGGCATACCTCGTCGTTCCTATAAAGGGTTTTCCATCTCTGAAAGGCCTATATTAATGTATTTAATAGTAAATTACACGTGATTTCCATTAGCATCTTTGTAGATCTTAGAAATCCCAAAGTCCACCAGATATATTTCATTAGGATCACGTCCCACTAGCACATTCTCTGGTTTCATGTCTCTATGAATTATTGATCTACGAACATATTTTTTATCATCTTACTTTGTATGGCATTGCTCCAAAATGGTTATCATCTACTCAGCCAACATGATCAAGGTTTTCAGTTAGAATCTTTTAAGATGCTTTGCATAATAAGCCAAATCTCTTCCCAACAATTAAATTACCATAATATTGTAAGGTCCTTCCGAACCAAACCAATACAATTTTGGAATGCCTTTTATACCCTGCAACCTCTATAATATTTATGACTAAGCTATAGATTCTAAAATTTATATACTTCTCTATCCAGAGACTTAGCTTCATCACTCTCCTCCTTCTCAATCTTTAATGCTATCTACTCACTCGTTTTCTTGTCTTCCCCTTGAAAAACAACTCCAAATGATCCAGAACTTAACTTCTTCAACACCACAAACTAATTGTTGAACACCTTCAACTCCTTTTATTGTTAAATGGAACTAGAAGTCATTAATTAATTTAATTATGTTTTGAACTTGAAACTACTCTCTTCTAAATAACTTCATATAGATTTTATATTCAAAACATTCTTCCTTCAAATTGAATCAAATAATATCAATAACATACTAAGATTAAATAGTTACGAAAATTGATTTTTTAATTATATCTATTCATTTTACATATTTAATTCTTGTGTGGGATATATGTGATTATTCATGACTGACAGAGGAAAACATGCTATAAAATTTGAATTCTACATCAGAAACTTAATTTTATTAATAAAATATGAAATATTTAATCTCATTCACATAAATTTTCATATTTAATATATTAGGAGCTCTCATTGCTAAATACTAATGTGATTGCTCATTATTTGAAGAAGAATCAATTTGTTTAGGAATTGACACTTGCAATTGGATTAACGAACTCTGTGTTAATAAGGAATGTTCTGAGATGGATGAAAACCAATGTGATTTATTAGGAAAATGCAGTCTTAATCCCGAAGGCAGTTGTGAACCCACAGGATTTTGTACCAATTATCAAGTCAAAGACCAAATTGATTGCATGATCAAGAAAGGAAATTGTGGAGCTGACAATCAAACGAATGCTGCTGGATTTTATCAATGTAAATCTTATAATTCCGTTGATTGCAATTCATTAGCAGCAGAAAATTGTACCAATAATTATGAAGATGGATAAACATTTTGCTGGCTAAATTCAACCAAATAATGTCAAAGCTATAACATAAACTCTTGCGAAGGATTACCGTTAGATGTCTGTGATAAATTAGAATGCAAGAACTCAAATGGTCAATGTTCAGCCTTTCTATGTTCTGACATTACATCATAAGACCAATGCACATATGTACAAAACGGTATTTGGGGGTCACTGACACTTTGTTAATGGAAAGAAGATTAAACTCCAAAATGCATTGAAAGAACTGAAACCAAAGACTTTACTAATATGACCTGCTCAAAGATGACTGATGGCAGATACTATTGGAAAAATGAATCTTGCATCTCATGCCCAAAAAATTATGAAGATAATTCCAGTTCCTCCCTGAGTTTAATTCTCTATTTAATTTATGTTTTGCAGTATCTATGAACCTCTAAGCTTAATATATTTAACTAACATTTTAAAACATAATCATCGATAGTTATCTTAAACTATTTGCATATAATTTTGAATCAATAATTTGTTGTATTCAATTAAAAAAGAAAAATACTTATATTTGATTTTAGTTATTGTGTAATATCCTATACCTATGATCTCAATATTTGGCAAGAGAATCTTATTTCGAGGATAGAATAAATTTCAATCATTTAAGAAGTAAATCCTAATTGAAGTCCTATTAATTTTTAGGAAACCGAGAGGTGGGCTGGGCAGTATTGTTATTGAGTACAATATCGATTTTACGTAGACTAGAATTAGTAATTGAGTTCTATTAAGAAATAGAAATATCTAGAGATTTATAATTGGGATATAAAATTAATTAATGTAAATATTAATAAGAAATGTCATATAAATAAAATTATTAAATTATTATTTTATATTTTTAAGAGTAGATTGTTATTCTAACTTAAATTGGGAAGATTATTTATACTTGGATGGTAGATTCCTCGATATTCATGTTTTTAATTTACACTTTTGATTAAATTCATATATATTTTATGATTCGTGTAGAGTAGATTTCCGATTCTTGATTCTAAGAATCATTCAAAGTTAGGAGATAATTTTACTGTAAATTAATCAATGAGGTAATAGGATATTAATTATATATTGAATCTGAAATTAGATAAATATTTATAAAAATACTAAGCCCCTTATAATATGGATTCAATAGACTACTAAGAAGCGAAATTCAAATTTCAAGGTGTTCGCAAACACTTCTTTAAGGATGTCATTTATCATATAACTGTGTTTGATGATATGGTCACTATGGGAACAGTAAAAACATTATATAATTGGTTTAGACTTCGGATTGCCAAAACCCGAAATACAAACTGAAGCTGAATCTTGAAACGAAAATAAATTGGGAGTTGCGAAAGAATAAGGAGGAACTCGATTGCTTTGAGTTTGAGCATTAAAACAAAAGGAAAGTTGTTCATGCCTAGCCAAAGGATTTATTTAAGTACAGTTTTGTTTAAGTATTTTAGATTCAAAGAACTATTAGCAGGAAAAGTGACTTTTGAGGGCATTGGCGATTTATTCTAACCACTATATCAGATAGGGAAGGGAAGCTCAGCAAAAGTACAGCATTTTTGTTGATATGTAGGTGTATAGTGCAAAGAGTGCATTAGATTAAAGAGTATATGCGGTGAAGGCAATAGAGAAGGCTTTTCTTAAGATATCTGAGAATGGAAGCGGATTAGTAAATATATTTAAGATTTTTAGTAAGGTTTTTAATCTGAAGTTCAAATTCTCAGAGCATTATAATAATACGAAAGTAATTTTCTGGTGTTGAAGGAGATATATGAGGGTGACAACACTCTGTATGTGGTTACATCCTATTTGGAAGGGTTGAGTCTGAGTGGAGAATTAGAAAAAGCCAAGGTACAATTAAATATTCATATCAAGACTCTGCCCAACAAAAGACTACCAATAAACAGTATCAAGATAATAATGAGGAAACTTTTGACCAATTTAAAAATTCTGCATTCTCATCGTGTATTAATTTAACATTTAGTTATAGATTATCCATAGAGACTTAAAACCAGATAATTTGATGTTTTCTAGAAAGAATGATTATACGTCGTTAGTTCTAGTCGATTTCGGATTGGCCACTTCAGAACTTCTGGACAAGTAAGAATTATAATCAATTATAAGGTATTTGTTTCCCAAATGCGGGACACCTGGCTATGTGGCTCCTGAGGTATTGATTAGTAGATCAGATCTAAGATATAATTGTAAGGTTGATATATTTTCTGCAGGATGCATTTTTTATAAATTACTTACTGGACATAGTTTGTTTATTGGATAGAATTTCGATGAAGTCTTGAAATCTAATAAAATGTGTTAGATCGATTTGGATCTACCCATTGACGGCGTTTACATTACAGAATAATCAATAGTAATTATTTCTAATTATTCTAGGATATTTTGAGGAGGATGCTAAACAAGAATCCAAAAATCAGGATCAGTGCCACTTAAGCTCTGCAACATTAGTTTTTAGACTCCAATAGTGATTTCAGCACTTAAGCTATTTAATCAACTGGTTAATAAATGACAAAAAATGCAATTTATTAATTGAATTTGGCTGAATCTGAATCCAAATATAATAGTTAAAATGAGATTAATGATGAATAATAGTAGAATTCTAAAATTAATGATACAAAAAGATATTTATTGATGAATGAGATGCCACTTTCAGCCAAAAGAAGCAGTGGATAGTTTTCAGGTACTTTTTATCACAAGGATCCTCTATCAGCTGTAAAAACAATTAAGATTACAAATGAAACATCATAGCCACTTAAATTAAGTAGTCATTAATCAGCTTCCTAATTTTGATTCTTTATCTTATTTTATAATATTATACAATATGATAATTCACTTAAAAGACAATGACTTTTAGGATCCAAGACTCTTCTAACTCAACATTTCCTCATGGGCAACTTGTAGTGAAGTGTAATCCCCTTTGACTGCCAGGATATGGGCAGAAGCAGCAGCTTGCATTGAAATTCTACGAATCATTTTTTGCATATCCTCCTTTGATTTTGGATTCTCCATTGATATACTTGAATTTGTAGATAGAGTCTGGAAAACATTACTAATACCTATTGATTAAGCACTTCGATTTGACGAGGGAACAATCACTAAGTATATAGTATTTTAGTACTTGATTAACTAGGCTTATTCACCCTTTGATATTGTTGCTATTGCTTTTATTTTAATTGGAATTGCATCTCTTCATTGCAAGCTTGGGAGTTCCGTAATTAAGAGGTGAGAGTGTCAACCTAATCTTTTAATTCTTAAATCTATTAGTCTTTCTGTGAGATTTCATCATACAGTTTTTGAATCAAATCACTATCATCATTCATCGAGGAGTAGAGTGCTGTGCTGCAAGATAGCTTTGAATCTGCTAATTTTGTGTCGGTTTCTCTTACATCTTTCAGGATTGTAAGAAGTGTATCCCTTCTTTTTTTTAACACATTCTTTTTTTTTTACAGTAATCCATTGGTAGAGTGAATCTATGAAATTAAATCTTATAATTGATCTTTGTGTGATTCTTAAATAACACCTAATAATTGAGCCATAAAGATAATAAAATTTTAATATTAGATTGAATTGCTTTATTAATTTTCCTGGTGATATTTGGCATATTAAAGGTGCAGCCTTGCATTTGAAACATAAAAATAAAAAATGATGAAAGAACCTGAGAAGATCATTAAGAAACAACATATAAATGGCTAACTGAAATATTAAGTGAAATGGAAAGGTTTTGATGAAACGACTTGGGAAGTTGAAGATAATGTAAAAAAGTACAAAGAACTAATTGAAGATTTCAACTATTTCTGTTTGACAGGAGAAAGATATGATGACAAGAAACTTGATGAAATCAGATAAATAACAGCATAAGCTTAACCTAGAACTGCGATTAAAAGAGTGGCTGGACCCAGACCTCCTGATCCAAACAAAAAGGATAAAAAGACAGAAAAAGTAGATTAAAAGCATTCAGAAATTAGCGAAACCTTGTCGTAAAGTCAATTAGAGAATGGCAATAACAATCACACTCTTAGTGCATCCAATAACAATAACATTCTTATTTGCAATGAAAACTAAACGCCTCAGATTCCCAATTAAAATAATGTAGTTTCAAATCTGTAAACAGCTCTGATTGTCAATATGCATTAATAAAATCATAAAACTGGTAGCATAATCTCGTAAAAACAATAGGAATTAACATAGTAAATTTTATTTATCATTTTTATAGAAAAGTAACCTAACATTACGCAAATTAAGATGACAAATTAGCCGTGATTAAATTATAAATAACTGAAGACAATTGTGTATTTTAATTACAATGGAAATAGAGGAGTGATGGAATAACTCCACTTCCTGAATTCTATAGCTATGAATAGTTTAAATTGTAGGCTCCTTTGTTTTTTATTAAATTTATAGAAACATGTTTACTAGAATGTCAAAGCAGTGACAGTGACATCAAGTATTAATTCTTCATAATTATTCTAGATTCGAAATAGCCGGTAAGGATTTGTTCGAGAAGACAAATTTAATAAAAAGTGCCTTATAAAAAAGAGAAATGGGTGACAAAAAGAAAGGTGTCTAACAATTGTTGATTTCATGACTTAAATATGCATGTAAAATTATAATAAAATATAATAATAAAAAATAAGAACTGTGTGTACCATCCATAATCTCATAAATTAATACATAAATAAAATATTAATGTACCTAACAACACCCTAGAGATATCCATTATTTAAAGGTGTCCCCAGTTCTCCAGTTATGCCTCGCCCATTTTACTAAGCGTCCTCACCTACAATGAGTTTCGTAAACCCCTTCGTTTAGTAAAATACTTATCGTCCTCAACCTTCTCTGCCCATAAGTCAAAGAGCTCCAATCCCTACTCAAAATCCCAACCAAAGAGCATAGACACCTCAAGCTCGAATCACAGGAAAAACTGTACCCTCAAATCCTCCACCTCAAAGAGTGTAAGGAAGTCTGCCCAATAATGTACCTCCAAAGGGATAGAATCCATAAACTGTAATTCCGAATAAGCCATATACACGAACAATGCCTCAACCTAATACCAAACCTCAAAGCGCAATCCCAGTAATGTATAGCAATAATAGTTAGACCAATCAACAATAAATGATTTAGGCATTGAGCAAAGAGAATTTAGACTTAAAAAAGAAATTGGCTGAGAAAGATTTGGAATTATAAAAATTGAAGGCCAAAGAAGAAGCATTGGAGTAGAAATTTAAAGAATTATAAGATTAATAAAAGAGTTGAAATACTTAGACAGATAATATTTATATATAAATCATTCTTATGACCACCTTGCTATTCTATCTAGATTATCATTTAATAATTATTATGCTTCCTAAACTCTATCCAATATGAATTGTCTATTCAATTATGATATACATTACCTAGAATCATTTCTATCTTATAACTTTTGTCCTACTTCTTTTACACCTTCCTTACCGACACTAAGTTCATAATCTTTCTGTTCAAAATGAACCTCCAATTGCTAGTAGTATCTCTAAGCTTCTGAAAGAGAACTACATCATTATAATAAATACGCATTTATCTCTCCAGTCAATTTATTGTACAATCTAATATTTTCTTGTTCTTTGGCTTCATCGGCTTCCAAACTAGCAAGCACAGCCTTATTAAGACTGTCTAAAAGATCCAAAACCTTTTCCACCTATTCAGTATCTAAATGAGCAGTTATCTACATTTGATTAGCAAAATACTTGAGCCAAGACTTCTACATGTTTTCCTCTACCCAATTATTTAATTTCTTCAAGAAGATTATCCTTTTCAATGAGACTATGACCATCAAATGAAAGTGCATGAACTCTCTCAACCAAAAGAGATATTGTTTCAAGTATAACATTTTAATTGCCGAGTCTTTTTAAGTATGCTGCTTAGTCTTAAGAGAAGAGATTATCAATGATCTATTGTTAATGATTCAAAACTGAAATCTTTTTTGCAGCTGTGTCCACTGCTTCCTTTAATTCTTGTACTTCATTTACCAAACCTTCTAATCCTGATTCAAGAGATTATTGTTGTTCATTGAAATATTTTTCATCTTCTGTTTAATCATCGGTTAAATGTTTTCTTAATTCTTCAACATGATCATTCAACTCTTAGAGGGTTGCTCCTTTTTGAATGAATGCTGAAAGCTCTCCAAATAATTTATTTCCGAAATCGCTTGATTATGCAAATTCTCCAAACACCTCCTAAAAGGCTGAATGATTTGCTGTTTAGAGCATGATGTTATTGGACATAACAAGACCAATAAGACAGAAAGAAATCAGCTTCATATCCGTTTTTATTTTTAATAATGATTACTCAAAACAAATTAAATTTCCTCAACTCACTTCTAGATCAAGAACTCCAACAATTAACATAAAGCTGTGATCTACAAGATTTACATAATAACAAAATATCATTCCTTGAATTCGGCTTACAACGAAATAATGACAATCAACTTGGTTCCTAACAATCAATCATTGAAAGAGCATTCCCAACCTTAGGTGTTAAAGATACTGATGATTTCACTCCATTTAAGTAAACTCAAAGAAAATCTACTCGCATAAGAGCCACCTCATCTAAACATAAAAAATTATCAATTGAACAAAAAAAAAGTTTAAAGAAAGTTTCCCAAGAATAAATTAATGCTAAAGCCTTGATTTTAGAAAAGCACAAAAATTCAGAGCTTCAAAAGGAAGTTAAATAATTGTCTAAAAAATTAAAAAAGGCCTAAGCATCAATCACGCAATTAAAACAAGAATTGTTAGAGTATGAAAAATGTAAGGAAAACTTTCATAAAAGCGAATCAATCAGGTAATAATAAAAAGAATTAATACAATGTTTGAAAAAAGAAATCGATTAACTCAAAAAAAAATGATATATATTAAGCTTACTTATATAAAAGTATACTATTCATAAAGATTTATAAACTAATTATAAATAGTCTAGCATTCGATGCAGAGATGATTACTTTTGTTAATTCCACAATCCTCTCTTTGTTTAATAGTCCAATGCAGACTTGGTCAATTCCAAAGCCTTTAAAAATAGTATTTTATTTAATTAAGTTATTTAAGTTGCATTTCCTATGTATTCTCGAACTGTTATCCGATATTAATCTGACCATAAAGCCAATACCTAATAGAGTTCATCAGCTCTTTCATTAGTAAATTTCAGATTGATATATTATTACTAAGAGATTTCAAGTAGTTCAATCAAAGGATTCAAAAACACTATTATTTTCTAGTTACTCACATATGCTTCCAATTTTGATTGCCCTGTTAGCCATGATATTAAGAGACTGATCAATTATTGTAGATCCTTCATCCCTTGTTCATAAAGGTCCAAATAAAATTGACTTAAGGGTTTCTATCCTCTTTTTGGACGATCCAGTTAATCTTACTGCAGAAAATCTCTGATTTATTATTAATTCCACAGGAAGAAATCTCGATTCCTTGAATCCATGACAATAAATTGAGTTCCTCTAATGCTTTTAACCGCAACAAAGGAAATCCAATGATTGGTTACACCGAGCATATATGTTTAAATCATTTCTTCACTCTAGGATGGCCTAAACTCTTAAAATAAGTTGAACTTCCTAAATTATGAATAACAATACTATACTTTTATAAAGCCTAACGTTCATTGTATCCATTAACTATATTACCATATTAATAGAATATAGTATCATTCGTAATGAAATACTTGATTCCTTCAAAGACTTCATTTTAAAATGTTTATTTAAAAAGTGGTTTAGACTCTAAACAGCATTTCAAATATGTCCTTTCAAAATCTCCTTTGTCTATATCGTCATTTCTCCATGGCCAGACTGAACCATCCAAGCCTCGTGAGTCCCTGTATAATTTTAGAAAATCTTGAGTTCGACGAACATATGACCAAAATGCTGCTATATCATAAAACTAAGGTGAAATTCTTAGAATATAATTACACATTTACTTGTATTTGATACTCTAAACACATTATATTAAATTATAAGTAGCATGGTAACCACAGAGATTAGGAACAAACTATTTATGAACCAAAATATGATGGAACTGTTGTTTATTTGGAACATATTCATTTTGCAATTCTACAATTCTTATAGTATTTTAAGTGATAGGTTTGATTTCTTCTCCCTTATGATATTACTTAATCCAAATTCCTTATTTTGATTTATTAGAATTTGTATTAACAAAATCTATAAACTTATGATGCTATTCGATATTGTCAAGAATGTTTCTAACAATTTCTTCAGCAGGATGTAGGTTTTCCATTATATTTATTAATATTGTCATTTGACTTTAAATGTAGAATTTACTCGTCAGATTATAAAAGAATACGAATGGGATTTTATTTTCACAAATTATAAAATATTGTAAATTAGTTATTATTTTTCAGAATGTTGGTGATCTAAATTTTGTGTAGCCCTTCTGCTGTATGTGTTCCATAACAAGGAAATCCTATGTCTTAATCCCTTAGTTTAATCCATCTAACCATTTCAGAGAATTCCACAAATTCAGGGACATATCCTAAAATCTCGAATACTTTATTGTGTGTGTAGTAAAATATTGATAATTAAAGATTCTAAACCTAGAACTCTCTTGGTATTTAATCTATAGGAATTTCAAATTCCCCTTCTAATAGAATATAAGATTCTTTCTGGAAATGCATTCCCTTTATATACTTCAAACCCTTGCCTAACCTTATAAGTTCCTCCTTTAATAAATGTCCAGCGGAATGCAGTTAGGAATGAATAAGTCGTACATCTGGATTTACTTTCTATAAAATAGGAGTTTTGTTTGTTCTACAATCTAATAAAAGATCATAAGCTTCTTAAGAGAATTCAATATCAACATAGCTCTCTTGATGCTACCTATCATTATACATATTTTTGATTATGAATTCCTTTTCCCCAATAATGATGGAACCAACATCATCAGGTTACCCGCCTCCTTGAGGATGAAATATATTTTCATAGAATTGTATCCTGATATGATAGTGATGTTATTTTGTTACGAATTCTCTAAAGTAAGCCTTCATTACATAGATGATGTAAGAGATGTGTTCACATTTAGAAGCATCATCGAAGTATAAATTAACTTATTTTTCTTTTGGAAGATAACTCCACTCATATTTGAAGCTCTCCACTAACCCTTGAATTACATCATGGCACTATTAAAAAGGATTGTGAACCTCCTATTATCCTATTATAGAATGAATATGTGATGTAATTTTATTAACTTAAGTTAATAATCTTCTGGATCTATCAAAAAGAACGGATACTTCCTTTAAGACAGAAAATATCGTGTGTTTATATTCTTAAGCCCATATGATAATGATATCTTTATTAATTTCTGCTGGGTTTGCATCCAAAAATTGTTATTCTGACATTCCCAATAATTCATATAAAGGTTTTACATACATCAATGTAGAGGAATCACACAAATATTCTGTAAAATTTAATTCGCCTCTTAAAGCCTAAACCATTAGTTTGACTAATCCTTGTAAATCGAGAATTCCCTATAAATACATATCTAACTCATAAGGCTTATAAGGAATTCGACCAATCTTAATTCGTTAATTGTTGATATCATTTAAGTATTCTTGTATTTGATCGACTCCCCATTCGCAATAATCTATATTTTTTGAATCCATAAAATAGAATTTGGTTTAACTTTTGGTTTTAACTGCCACAAAGGAAACCCAATGGAAAGTGATCCCTAGCATAAAAGCTTATATTAATGGAGCTTCCTATTCGTAATTAATAAATTGTTAGATAGATTGTATTATCTATCCTTTCTCTTTCAAACTATTGACAACTCTTCCAAATTAATACTAAATGACAATAACCTCATGATAAAGTTCTTTCCAAGGCTTTAAATAGCATCTTTCAAAATCTCCATGCTCTATATCGTAATTACTCCAAGGTTCATGATTGATATTATGTTTAGTTCTGTATTATTTTAAATAATTCTAGACAAACTTAACATATTTCCAAAATGAAACCGAATGGTAGAGATAACACTTCTTTTAATGAAAATGGTTAAGTAATTGTAAGATGTTGTAAGTTGCATGATAACCACAGAAATTATAAACATGCTGCTAATAAACTTTTAGATGAATGATATTGTTAAATTCTCTGATTATTTGTAATTCATTGGTACATTCTTCTTGATCCAGCTTTTCTAATATTTCTATCAAAATTTCAGACATTAATTGTGTTAAGATTATTATTCAGCTATTTATATAAAATAATTATCTTAATAATTCTGATGATTGATTAGGATGTGCTAAGAATTGTTTGTAAGACAAATAATATCATTTAATTTTAATGGAAATAATAATGTACATTAAATATCAGAGACATTCCTCCTCAATCAAATTGAAATATTTATCTTTACCACTTTTACTCTCATCAATAATATGAGTGTATAAATTATCAGGTGAAATACTGAATTCTTATTCAATAGAATTATCCTCCAGTAACTGATTAAACTTAATCCCGAATTTATTTTTGAAGTCAACCTATCTAATTCTATTTCCACTATGCTTATAATTCTATAAGTCTTGTTGTATGAATTATTTGACTCGTTTGTATTTAGACTTCAAATAAGCAAATGCTATTTCCATAGTATCTTCGACCATTTTGTAATTCCTTTTGATACGATCAGGAGTAACACTCAAAATTTATGGGTTGTAATTGATTTCTAATAACCAAATATCTAGTTCATTATCTAATAAGAAATCTATAGCCAAGAATTCTGAGAACCTTGAATCTTAATAAAAACTATATTGGCCACTCCTGATGGTGTGAATAATTTTAGAGTAAATTCTGGGATACAGGTATTCCTGTAGCCATCTTTGTTTTTTACTTATTCTTCCTTATTCTATAAGTAACTCTTCAATTCCTTCAAGATTCCAATCGATAAACATTTCTTCATCTTCTGATTCAAAACTGCCCTCGCCCTGATTTGTTTAATTTTTATGAGTTTTCTCTGTGACTGCCGTATTACAAATATGCGCAGGTATTTATTCTGACAATGGATTATATTCATTAGCACATCTCTTTATCAATGCTCTCCTGTAGACATACAATTATAATGGATTGCTGCTTGCCAAATATATATATATTCTAAACTCTATTTTATGTCCCTTATACAAGAACGGTCTATTAATATATTTTTGTGCTACTATCTTCTCTGTAATGTTTCCACATTTTTCTCCATTTTGATACACTTCGGTGATATTGTCTATTTGACTTTGAAACAATAATCTGATTCCTTCTCCACGATGCTCATCGGTTTTTAACAAATATTCTGGGCCATTATACATTTTAACATTGTTCTTGTAATCCCTTTGTAACTAGTTTAATTTCTTGAAGAACTATTAGCATTCCTATTTGACATTCAATCTTAGAGTATGTGGCACATAAGAGGCATTTTTAATACATTGCTAACTTACGTTCCTCATCTTCATATCATATATATATTTTGCATAATTGTAAATTAAACTATTCTTACTTGTTAAAGTATATAATCCTGGAATATGATTAAATTTTTAAAACATGCATCCTAATCCTTAACCTAAATGGTAATTGTCCTGTAATCTAGGTTTAAAAGTGTAAAAGTAGGAAAGTTAAGGAGGTACACGATGTTAAAATTTGGTTTAAGGCTCTAATCTTATTATTATGGTTTACTATTTAAAGGAGATATATTCTAGATTGAATCAAACATTCTCTTTTTTATTATTTCTCTTTGTAGATTCCCTTTGTCAAGCTCTCTAACTATATATTTATCTTCCAAGAGTATATCTGGATGCAAAAGTTTCTTAGTATATTTATATTATCTTACCAATGTGTCTGATTCAATACAATAACTTGGC